CAACGGTTGCGATAAATACACGCGCTTTAGCTTAGGACATGAACTCATGTTATGTCCACAGTATTTTTGACGAGAAAGATTGCAAGATGGAAAGAAACAAGAAAAACATCACCGTTCCATTCGTGCGAGCTCGACCTCAAATACTACGAAGATTGCAAGTGGGTGAATGACATATGGGGACGATTAGAAGCAATCTCCGAGAGTTTCGACCGAATTCTCATGGACGCCGAAGAAATTTCCCAACAAAAAAGCGCCGTTCGGTTGATTAATGCATGCCTGACTTTGTGAATGAAGGCACTCACCAAGGAACACTCCGAAACTAAAAAGGCAGAAAATGATCGTGAGGAAAAACAGTTGGAAAGCAACTAGCATGAAACAATTCTACGGCCTTAAAGCACAGCTATAGGGCGTATTAATATTTAATCGGAAAGCGGATTTCACGAGACTCCTCTCAAAACTGCATCTCCTAAAGTGCAGGTTCACTTCAGGCTTATGAAGAAGCATGGGATACGACATGAGATGACCGTGTACTTTTCAAGGTAGGATAGGAAATGTCAAAAGATGAACGTATAGAGAGATAGGATGTTCTCGAAGAAGACCTCGGGGAGCCGTAATGTGTGTGGGTTAAAATGCAGAATTTGATTTTGATCGTACCGTAGAGAAGAAAAGAACTTGAAATGATTCGTTTTTTCATCAGGAGGGAAAAGGAAAGGATCCAACGAACCCAGGGAACATAAAAAAGATGTTTCAAAGTGAAGCAGGCAATGGAGAGTTTAAATATGGGCAAACCAGCCAGTTTGAACAGAAGAACAACGAATTTCTGTTGATCGTCTACTCAATTTTCCAACTCAAGACTGCAGTCAAGTAAGCAAAGCACAATTCTCATTAGTAATCCAGCACCTGCGAAAATTGCTTAGTTTGGGGTAATGTTATTCCAACTCCAGCAATATGCTTTAGTTGGCGGTTGAATGGAAAGCCTCTCGGAAACTGAGGCGAGATCCATACTTATTCCTGGAAGGAATTTTGGAGAGAAGCGACACTGGGCATTGAGCTCATTCATAGCACTCGAGTCCGGACGCCATCGTCGGTGTTGCTTTAAGAGGGCTGACTTTCACTTGGACGTCCTTCAAATAGAATATCTCAAAAGAAGGGGACTACTAGCAAGACAAGAGGCTGACTCGAAAAAAACATTTGCCAAAGAAAAAATGCTAATGGCCTGTAATTGCTGCAACAATCAAATGAGCCCTTCCTTCCGTTCTGAGCGAAAATTCCCTTCCTGGTTCAAACCCCGTTAGATGTGAGTAGCCGGCAATCTGTTCCATGAAAAAAAAAGAACCTT